AACTTTGTATGATATGTGACGATCTAGTGAAGCCATGAAACCTCCAAAACGGCTTCCCCACATGGATACGAATCACCCCGCATTAAAAGACAAGCTTTTTGAGTTTTTCAAAAGAAAAAAAATGTGAATACAAAGAACAGAAGCAATTATTGAAGGCCACCACTTCATCAAATGTGTCTGCACCGAGGGCGGCATTCTCAGTGGCTAACTGCATTGCTGAAGCTAAGAAGCCCTTGCTTTTGGTGAAGATGTGATCCTGCTGCTGCTAAAGACATTTGCCGTGAACTTTTAGGAGAGGCTGCAGTTCAAAAGGTTGCACGTGTTCCTCTTTCAGCTAGCACCATAACTAGACGATGAAATAGAGGATATTGAGGCACAGTTGTTAGAGAGGATTAATGAGTCACCGTGGTATGCAATCCAGGTTGACTAGTCTACTGGCTGCAGAACTATTCAAGTCTTTGAATGATTACATATCAGGAAAATGGAATTGGTCATTTTGTATCAGTACCGTGTTTCCCCGAAAATAAGACCTGCCCATAAAATAAGCCCTAGCAAGATTTCTAAGCATTTGCACAATATAAGCTCTACCCCGAAAATAAGACCTAGTGATGGGTGTGGCTACGCAGCGTATCTGCACAACCCATGCATGTCATGGCGGAGCGGGAAAGAAGACGAGCAGCCCTTCTCATCTGCCCCATCGTGACAGCTACTACCCCAGAGGTGACCGGAAAGGTGCAGGCAGCCCCACCAACAAGGTTGGCTCCCCCCGTCAGGTCCCGGCCATCCTGTGCATGCTGCAAGCTGAGGCTTGGAGGGGAAAATAACACATCCCCTGAAAATAAGCCCTAGGGTGTCTTCTTGAGGAAAAATAAATAAAAGATCCTGTTTTATTTTCGGGGAAACACTGTATATGCATGGACAGAGCAGCTGCCACGACTGGATGGCTTTCTGGTTTCACTACTTGGTCAAGGTGGTCGATCCTGAATGTGAGTCTATGCACTGTGTCATCCATAGAGTTACTGGTTAGCCAAAAAATGAACTGAACTAAATGACGTTTTGCAGGATGTGATTAAAATTATCAAACACATTAAAGTATGTGCCCTTAACCCACGTTTGTTCGCGCAGCTCTGTGAGGAGATGGACACGGAGCACACATGTCTTCTCTGATACACAGAAGTGAGATGGCTTTCTAGAGGCAGATCACTGGCCAGAGTTTCTGAGTTACTAGAGCCTCTCCAGAGATTTCTTTTAGAAAAACTGTCACCATTGGCAGCACATTTCAGTGACATAGAATGGGTCACAAAACATGCTTAGTTGTGTGACATATTCAACCTGCTCAGTGAACTCAATCTGTCACTTTAGGGGAGAATGACAACTGTGTTCACGTAAGCAGATAAAGTGGCTGCATTCAAAGCCAAACTGGAATTATGGGGGCGATGAGTGATCTCAATGAACACTGGGATTTTTGACATGTTTCTAACGTTAGCAGAGATTTTGAAAGAGACTGAGCCAGGGCCTTCTTTCTCCCAGCTGGTGCATGATCACCTATAGCACCTTTCAAAATAATTTGAGTATTAATTCACAACCACAAGAGACCCCCAAACTGGGAAGGAATGGATCCGCGACCCATTTGTGAATAAGCCAGGTGAATCCACTTTGTGCTAGAAGAGGATCAACTGCTTGAGATCGCAAATGACAGTGGCCTTAAAAGTGTGTTTGAGACAGCTTCAAATGTCCATATGTTCTGGATTAAACTCAAGGCAGAATATCCTGAGATTGCCACTGAAAAGCCTACTTCCATTTCCAGCATCCTGTCTTTGTGAAGCAGGGTTTTGTGCAGTGATAGCAACCAAAATAAGATTATAGAGTAGACTAGACATAGGCAACACTCATCGGGTGTCACTGTCTAGTTGTAGGAGAACAAGCTCACTGATTCTGCATTATGGTGAGTTGTATAATTATATCATTATATATTACAGTATAATAATAATAGAAATAAAGTGCACAATAAATGTAATATGCTTGAATCATCCCCAAACCATCCCTCACCCCCAACCCCCACACCCATCCATGGAAAAATTGTCTTCCATTAAACCAGGCCCTGGTGCCAAAGAGTTGGGGACCACTGCTTTATTAGATGTATAGCTTGTGGATATTTTATCTCTTTCTGTAGGTTGTCTATTTGCTCTGTTACTTATTTCCTTGGCCATGCAGAAGCTTTTTAATTTAATCAAGTCCCATTCTCCTGCATGTGGCTATCCAGGTTTCCCAGCACCATTTATGTAACAGGGCTTCTTTTCCCCAGTGTATATTGTCTGCTTTGTCAAAGATTAGTTGGCTGTCTGTGGATGGTGTTATATCCAGGTTTTCTGTTCTGTTCCATTGGCCTTTGTCTCTATTTTTGTGCCAATACCATGCTGGCTTAATTACTTATAGCCTTGTAGTATAGTGTAGATCTGGTAATGTGATGCCTCCTGATCTGTTCCTTTTGCTTAAGATTGCTTTGGCTACTCAGGCTCTTTTCTGGTTTCACATGAAATGTGGAATTATTTTTTCTATATCTGTGAAATTTGATATTGATATTTTCGTCAGAATTGCATTGAGTCTGTAAATCATTTTGGGTATTATGGACATTTTAACAATGTTGATTCTGCCAATCCATGAACATACTTTCCAATTTGTCTTCATGTATATATGTAAATATATGATTTATTAACACAATGGTCATATATGTAATTTTAAAATAAATATACATGTATTAGGGATATGTACTTGAAATCTATTTTTGGAACTGCCAGGGGAGTGAGATTGGTGAAACTTGGGGTCTCATTGAACTGGATTCTCTCCAGCGTTACTTCACCTGCTCCTCCAGCCTCAACTTCATCCCCACTTACATCTTCTGCGCTAAGTGGCTCTTTCAAACTTTGTTCTTGTTTGTCCTTCTCTATGGAAAACAAATAAATAAACAGGTAGGCAAACGACTTCTTGATCTGACTAATTCTATTCCTCTTCCAGTCTCTTCTCAAGGCAAGTCCATTATGACTTCCCGATTGTGTGGAGTTCCCCTTCTCTTGTGTCTTGTACATTTCTTACTGCCCTATTATATTGAAACTATGTCTTTATGGCTCTACAAAATTCTTGAGGGCAGGGGATTGTGGCATTATCATGCTTTTTTTTCATCTTGCCATAGGGTAGATTCTGAAGAAATATTTATGGAACTAAATTTGTGACTCTCCTTGGTGGAGCTAGCCTGCTCTACCAGTAGATGAAATGGTGATTTCCTTATTTCAGTTTGTGGAATATCTGGAAGACTTTTTCTATATCCAAGGATATCTGATAAAATGAAATATTCCATATACTTTCATTTAAGTACTAAGACTAGCAGGCTGATTGTAAGCCTCGGTAGTATGGGTCATGATCTTAGGATGAAATAATTTAACCAGCTTCTTCTTACTAAAAATTAGATGTGATCATGTGCTCTTAGGAAAATGAAGTTTTGATCGCATGTGTGATGCAGGGGTCTTTGAGCTCCAGTGGGAATAAGAATCACTTGGGAACGTGTTAAAATGTAGATTCTCGGGTTTCATATACATACACATTTTGATTCATTCAGATTGGTAAGTGGCTCAGGAATCTGCATTTTTAGAAAGCATCTCAATGATTATAACATAGCCGGTAGAAATCATACTCTGGGACATACTGTTTTCTTCTTGCTGAAGTAGAGAGTAAGAAGAAGGGATAATTTTTAACCACGGAGAAAACTGCCTTTGTCTGGACCTGAGAGGGATTTTATGTGGAGGGTATAAAAGCAACAGAGTCTAAAAAGGAGAGTGCGTACCTGGGAATGCAGAAACAGGGAATCAGGGTGGCAGGAACGGAGAGTGTGGAGTGGCTTGAAAGACCAATAATGAGGAGTTCAGTTTATTTCATAATTTCCCCTGGGAAATAATTTCGCCTTCCTTCTTTGACTGGAACACTAATAGCAGTATAAAAAATGAAATCTGATTATTAGGGTATTTTCATCTTTAGTAACTGACAGTCATTCAATAAGTAATATTTTAATATTTCAGGATCTCTGGAATATTGAATGTTTCAGTATAGGACAATTTTTGACATTTAAGTCATACATCATACAATTCCATATAGTATTTCATTTTTAGTTCTATAATGACAAAGTTATCTAGCATAGAGGACATGGAAAACTATGCCATCTGGAAAACAGAATTTAACTTTACAACAACTGTGAGAAAAAATACATTTTTTCTTTAAAAGTCATTTGTAAATAATTTCTGTCAAATCTGTAATCCAAGTTGTTAATGTTTTAAAATGTAAAAGCTGTTTAAAGATTTTTGTAAAGACACTACATATTTTTTTCAAAATGGCAAATAACAAGCAGAAGTACGTGGAAAAATTGAGGCCACTAAAAAAACCCCACACTTTTCATTTTAGATTTTTATTTCAGCTTTCTCTCTTGGGCAGCCTTATATGAGGACTATTAACAAGGAGCTGATTGGTTGGATTGAGTTTCTTCTTCTTACCATGTTCTGGCCAGTGTCTGGTGGAAATCCTAATGAGCTGCAAACCAGATGAACAAATGAGCAGTAGGTTGGAAGGGGAAAAGAGGCAGTGGGCAAGGAGAGTCTATTGTTCCTCCAATCAACCAAACATGTTTTAATTGCAGCAGCAATGCCATAAACTCGCCTGGCACAAATCAGTTAGCCTGCCTCATTTCGTTCCTATTTCAGTCACCCTGCTTCCAGCATTCTTACGAGTCTGAGATTTTTATTTCATTCATTGATGGGGGAGATTTCCCTCTAGTCCCCGGCCCTTTTAGAAGATAAATTCTCTTGAATTGGCTCAATAGAAGTTGAGCTTGGGAGGAACTATATTGTTCTTATTGCAATTAATGTCTTGTTTTTAAGTTCACTTAATCCAAGACCTCTGGTCTCCACTGGCTTATGTTAAACTGAACACCTCTGCCAATTTCTGCTCTTCTGCAGGTGATTCGCAAGGGCTGGCTCACCATCAGCAACATTGGCATCATGAAAGGCGGCTCCAAGGGATACTGGTTTGTCCTTACTGCGGAGAGTTTGTCTTGGTATAAAGATGATGAGGTAAGCCACAGAGAGTAACAAAGTTTTCTTTGTGAAGTGGTTCTAATTTTATATTGGTATTATCGTGATATATAATGCTGCGACACCAGTGGTTGCCTTTCAGTCAGATTTAGCTTGGAGTGTTTGTTTAAACAAAGCACTGTTTTTTTCCTCATAGATTTGAAATTTTATGATGTTTCCCTCAAATTTCTTTTCTTGTTTATTTCTTCAGTGTAGTCATATGTTTGTGTACCTGAAGAAATGGAGTTAGGGATCAGGAATTGGAAACTTCCTTGTTTATAATAACATCAAGGTACTGATAGAGTGGAAGCAATTTACATTAAATAATGTGTTGAAAATACTCAAGGTAATAAAACATCTTAATAGTAAAATTATTAGTACTGATGCAGAGTTAAGCATTTTGGAATTGTTGCTGTGATGTCTCAGATGTCTCAAATGAAAGGCTTTTGAGAATGTCCACATCACTAGCCTTCAAGTGAGTTTTAGATAATTGTTAATTTTGTTCTTTGAGCACTTGATATCTATCTAAAAGCATGACTTACGGTAATTGTGATATTCTAGTTCTTGTTAGATGTTAATAATTTTGGTCCTGTGACTTACTACTCATGTAAATCTAATAGCCACAAAACTGCAAAAAAAGTCATTAGTCTTACAGAGCCATTTAAGCATGATAACGTGATACCATTAAATTTAGGAGTATACAGATAGAAATCAAACTATGTTTTAAAAATTTTAATAGCTCTGGTATGACTTGAAAATTTTCTGGTACTTACAATGCATCATGCAAACATTAGATAAGAATACTCTGTAGTAACAAAGCTATGTACAGGTGATGTCTTAGTTTTATTTGGCTATCAAGGGATGTGTTTCAGAGTTAAGTCCTTCCTGTGTTGGCTTGATTTCTTTTGAAAACATTGCAAGACACTTTTGTCAATTCTTGGAGGAAAAGTTTCATGTCTTATACAGTTCTTCCCACTTCCCAAGAGCTATATATGTAATAGTGTGTTGAAAACATGTTGTATAATTGCTTGATTGCTACTGAATTTCTTGCAGTAAGAGAAATTAAATCGTATAGAAATGTCCAAACAAAATTGCTATTTAGGAGCTTATATTAAATTTTTATGTCACTGACCAGAGTCTAAAGTAGAATTGGTCATTGCGATAGTTATAATGTGAGGATCAGCAATGTTTTCTATCCAGTACTGGCTGCTGAGATACCCCTGTCATTCTGTGGGAAGCTCTAGTTTTAAAGATCACAGCGTGGTGAGTTCTGAGATATTTCCCTAGCCATAAAAGTCAGTAAATAGATTATCTTCTTTGCTATTCAGTTGCTCTAAGATATTTTCTCTTAGATACATTTTTTCCCAAGAATTTAGATGATCGTTTATGTATATTTAAATACATATCAGTATTGTCACTTTTCTCAGTTATACATGGGCATGCAAAAAAATTTAATGAGGAATCATAATAGTAATAGATAGTTTTTGTATGTATATTAATTAACTCATTTAACCCATATCACCACCTTAAAGATAGATACTATTAGTACTATTATTATCTTTATTTTTCAGATAAGAAAAGTAACAAAAAATACCTTTTAAAAAGTCATTTCTATAGGACTCAGTTTCCTTTATTGCAGAACATTTCATGTTGTCAAAGAAAACTGATTTCCCAGGGTCACGTAGCTAGTTGGTAGCAAAGCAGGAATTTGCACTCAGGCTGTCGTGCTCCAGACCCGTGCTCACACCCACAACTGCAGGCAAGAATCCCAGAGATGGCTGGAGCCATCCAAGTCAATCTCATCCCACAGAGGATTTATTGAGATGATTTCTAGGCACCTCAGCCTTGACCTGTTTCTGGGTTTTAGCACCAGAGACCGGGAGGACTCTGGACTCACTGCTGCTATTGGAGTGTGACTGTAGAGTTCTTCCGTCGGACTCTGCGGGTCCTGGAATAAGCCTGTTAGAAGGCACGTGGTGCTCCCCGTAGGGGAAGAAGAAGACTTGAGAGCTTGGTGTATTCGGGGTCACCAGTCATCTCCTCCAAAGCCTCACGATGACTTTTTACAAAATTGCTGTTGCTGAAGCTCCCTCAGGAGTACTTGATTACAGCAAACAGAAATGTGTACAGTTATAATATTAACAGAGTGCCATGAACATCTTATTAAAGGTATATGTATGGAGGGTGGATCATTTCAGGAAAAAGGAAATGACAGGTAAGGCTGCTGCTTTATGGAACTAACAAGCAAATATGCTAATAATTTAGTATCAGATATTAAGTGCTTGGAGTGACGTAAGACAGGGCAATGATTGCGAAGGTGACAAGGGGGAGGCCTTCAGATTGGGTGTTTGATTAGAAGGAAGTAGCACTGGAGCAGAAACCGAAATGATGTGCTGTGTAGAGGGTTTCGTTGAAGAACATTCCAGGAAGAGGGAACAGTAAGTAGGAAATCCCCAGCGAGGGGAACCAACAGGAGGCCCGTGGCTGGAGCACAGGAACAGTAGGGGAGAGAGGCTGAAAATAAAGGCGCCCCCACATTGGGTGGGGGCCCTATCAGTCCTTACCCAGTGATTTGGATTTTACCGCAAGGATAATTGACAGCTTCTGCTGAGTTCCGATAGGTTGTGACGTGATTGGATTGACAGTTTAGAAAGGTTACTCCAGTTGCTGGTTGTGTGTAGTATGTGGGATGGGCTGTGTGCATGGAGGGAGTGGGCGTGGCAAGAATAGAAGAAGGGAGACCAGCTGGGAGACTCCAACCGTGACCCAGGTGACAGTGGTGGTGGCTGCCCTGGGTCATGGCTGGAGGTGAGGAGCGCTCACTATCAAGGTAGCAGATGTGTGGGCTACACCGAGCTACACTTGAATCATCAGCGACTCTTTCAGAACTCTGCTCAAGAAACAAGATAGGGAATTTTCAAAATGTTAATACCTGACTCAAGAATGACCACAATCTTCAAATTGTCAAATGGCCTGTGTCGGGGAAGCAAAGCCTTATCCACCGGAGCCATCCGTGTTAGTCATTATTCACCCCACCACCACTCCTCAGCCGCCACCACCACGGTGGCTCTCTACCTGTTCCGTTGGCTTCTCTTGCCAGAGCTTCCTGCCACTGAAGACTGTCTCTGAGCCTGCTGTCAGAGTAGGAGGGAGGGGCCAGCACTGACCCTTGCTCTTTGCTAGTATTTACCAGGTATTTATTAGTGTCTGCTGGGAGCTGAGGCTGGAAGGGAGGGTGTGGGGAAGGAGATCAAGCAGGCAGTGTCAGGAGGGTGGGGGGGTTTACAGGCTGGGATCCATCTCTGGCCTCGTGAACACTCATCCTTGAACAGCAATGTGTTACATGATGCTTAGATTCCATAAAGGTCTTGCTGCCATGTAGTCCAACTACATATGGATTAAACATGGTTCTGTGGGCAGCCTGAGAACCCCAAATTTAGAATGTCCCTTTGTGAAAATAAGCTTGAGTACTAACTCAATTTTTGGAGCCGCTTTGTGGGTAAGCTGAGTGCTTGTGTTCCTCCTGTACACATATCAGCAGCTACACACATTGGAAATCCTGTTCCATGACAATTTACCTTTCTTAATTAAGCAAATGTGACATTAATTAAATATCATTAATTTAGTTGCAGATTCATTCATTTATTCAGTGATAAAGTTCTATTCAAATTTTCATAGAAGATTATCATTTTTTAAATATGTTCTCTCTTCCTGCTACTTATATTGGTATGTTTTCATTATAATATAAGTGGCTATTTAATAAATAGCATATTCTATCATATGAACATAAGTATTGTTTTAACTTTTGACAGGTTTATAATAAACATAAATGACTTATGAAATATATTTGTGATTAAAAAACAATGGCTCAAAGTGTTTTTTAGGATAACATTAATTGATCAAAAGACCCTATAGAGAGAGTATCTGTTTGGTACCTTGGAAAGGGTGAGGTGCCAAAGGGTGTAGGTCACTAGGACTAACTGCCTGTGCTGGAGCAAGTGACTTCACTTCCCTGAGCCCAGTCTTCTCCCTTATGAAATGGGGCCCACTGCTCAACAAATCATCTCAGTGCAATTTTTTTAGGACTCTGAGAAGTCATATATTAGTAAGTGTCCCTGATACCACACTGGTATATTTAAATTGCCGTGGCAAGAAACACCATGCCCTCCCACTGTAATGTCCTTTGACTCACATATATTCTAATTTCCAGATTTTTGTCATGTCATGTTGTGAGATAGGACATATGGGATCTGGGCTGTCTTGGCAGAAAATGATAAGGTTCAGACACAAAGGAGAAACTCAGATCCCATTTCTTCAGTGAGACTTTCCATGCTGTCTCCTATCCAGCCTATAGTTTCTTCTACATCTTAAACAAGAGTTTAAAGATGATGATACCAAACTGGATTGTACATATTCAAGATGGCAGAGGCACTGGTATGATAACATGTGTAATAATTTTAAGCTAGAGTTGACATGACTGTAATAGTAAGATTCCCCAGCATTTTTCTACTTTCTCCCCATCCTGAATAGATGTATCCACCCTACTCTTGAATTTTGAATGTATACAATAATCCCCTCAAGCATCTGTTTTTGAACCGGTACTCTATAAGACAATATGTTATTTGTAATGTTACTGATAGATGACTTTAATAGAAAGGTTTCTACCTGTGTCCTAGGCTATGTTAAGTTTCCACATGTTATTGTCAAGATGTCTTTATAATACAGTGTGGTGATAGTAGACACAATTGATCTACTTGACTGTATTTTATCCTATGACATTATCCCAAGATTGGGGCTTTTCTTCGGTATAAAAAGAAATAAGGGACTGGGCATGGTAGCTTATGCCCCTAATCCTAGCACTTTGGGAGGCCAAAGTGTGAGGATTGCTTGAGGTCAGGAATTTAAGACTAACTTGAGCAAGAGTGAGATCTTGTCTCTACAAAAATAGAAAAAAAAATTAGCTGGGTGTGGTGGTATGTACCTATAGTTGCAGCTACTCA